AGCACCTTCTGCTTCTTATTTAGCACCGTCAAAAGCGCTGACTAAGGGATGCCAAATTCCTGCACGATGCTCGATTTCGTTCAGCCTTCTTTCTCTGCTTTCTTAATTAGGACAACCTTTTTATTCTAACATTAGCCACTTGCACTGCTTTGGCACCATGCTTGCCCCACTCACACTAAGATGCTGCTCCTCACAGTCAGCAAAAAATCCGTACCGCTCGGTTTGCGCAGATAAACGAAAATCCCACCTCAAGGAAAATCAAGAGCACTGCACTCACAGTCAGCGAAAAATCTGTACAGCATGGTTTGCACAGATGAATGGAAATCACACCTCAGAGAAAATCATGTGCATTGCACAAAGTGAACGAGACAGAAGGCCTCCCTGCTCAGAAAGTGTGGGCAGAAGGCCTCCCTGCTCAGCGCATGTGACACATGACGTGCCACAGGGTTGCTTGACAAAGTTAATATGTCGCTGGGCTGAGACTTCGCACACTTCGCGTTCGCATAAAGTATTGACGTAGTGGTGTGGCAGCATCGCGTGAATCTTGAGAAATGGTCCGGGGGTAGAATATTCATTCCACTCCCAGTCAAGATTTCGAGTTACATGTAATCTGACCCAAATATATTTTGAGATAAAGGAAAAAATATATATGCAGGGTGGAACACGATAAATGGGCTCGGAAGCAGTTCTAGAAGCAGGCAAAAGTGCTTTCTGTAGCAGACATGGAGCAGCCAAAAAGGCCTATTAAAGCAAGTTTAGAACAGATTTAGCCCCATTCAAAGCACTTGTGAAGCTGCATTTGTTCAATGCTGCATTTTTATACACACAGATAAATTGTGCAATAGCCTCATTATTGCAATAAAAATTATATGGACACTCTCGACGAATTTATGGCGTTGCTGTCATGTCCTGTATAAATTCCAAATTGATAACATACTCACGCGCAACGCATGTTTTATCCGCGAGCGGGGCCGACGAACGCAGGTGAAGCAGAGGTCAAACGATACGGCTAATCTTTGCTGCTCAGAGGGCGTGTGTGATAGCATCGGATACAACCGCCCGGGAGGCCTGTAGACAAAGCCAAGAGGAAGCACTTCGCCCATCTTGGAAGGGCATAAAAAAAAACGAGCAGAGGAGGGGGAGAGAGAGCAGGTGTCGCTCGAGCAACAAGTATGAACTTTACTTCTAAAGGCGTGGTCCCGATCGCAGTGCGCAGGCTAGCTCGGCAGCCATCAGCGGGCGACTCGCATACACTTCTACGTGCTGCACTCTCATCGCGATGATAATGTGCAAAACAGTGTGGCTCTCCTTGAAGGGGTCATATTCTCGTACACCAGCATTTTCTACAGTTAAATGAGATTGTATCCAAATTAAATAACTGCCAGTATCACTTCACATAACCTTATAATTTCTTGCTATCGCTTTCATTGCTCCAGACCTGCAGAGCAACTGCAAATTTTTTAGTTATGTACAGCTACCCATTTTTTCGTTTCGCATTTTACTTGAACGGGCAAGCATCAATTGCCGAGTCGATAAGCGCAAAGCACAGTGGCCAAATGAACAAGAATATGCACATACACTAGATGAGAAGTTATGTGCATGGTGCACCCTGTCTAAACCAGCCCCTTTCTTTTGAGTGCCGTTACTGCCTTACTTGATTTCTCTTCGAAAAAAAATCCATCATGTTATAAAAAAAGTTTACCGGAATGGCAAAGCAATGAATCTGATTGCAACAAATTGTAAGGCTGGCAGCCAATTCTTGTAAATTCAATATCGCGTAACCCTACAAAATGGGGACATATGCTCTTCTCACCGTCTCTTCGCTTTGAGTGCACAGCTGATGAAAGGGTTAACGAGCTATCCACGCTGATGCCTGCCATGATCGCGTGCGCATAGCACTTGCGACTACGTCCTTGGAGGATTACAGTTGCTCCTGGAGCGATCACAGCCTTTACGAAACCGAAACTAGTTAAACCTGCTTATAACGAACCTCCATATAAGGAAGTTCTCGATTTAAAAAAGTTTTAGGAAAAGCTCCTTAGAGTGTGGGTTTGTTCATCCTCCAATGGTTTATGTAGCCACGGGTGGCACATACCCGAAAGAGGAGTCCTTAGAATGTCCGCCGGATGGCTGCACTTCTATATGATGAATACATGATGAAAAGATGCGAGATGGCTATACTTGGAGTGTTCCCTAGATCAACGAAAGGACGGACATACAAATATACGGACGGACTAAAGGATGCACAGACAGACAGAGGGATGGACACACAGACGGGCGGACAGACAGACAGAGGGACGGCCGCACAAACAGGCGCACGGATGGATGGACGGACGGACAGACGGAAAAACAGATGGACGCATGGAGGAACGCATGGACGGACGGATGCACCGACGGTCACATGGATGGACGGACGCACAGAAAGACGCATGTACGGACGGAAACAAGAACGAATGGGCGGACGAAAGCACAAACGAACCGACGAATGCTTCGCCCCACCAATCATCATTCACTTCGTGGATATGCTGTGATTTTTTTTTATTGCCCGCCGTCGCTTCATAGAAGCACATGTATTTGTGACCTTTATGTAACAAAGTAACAAAGGGAGACAACCTTTATATAACGAATTTTTCCCACGGACAGTCTAGGAATTTCACGCCGAATGATGATATAAGCATAACTACATCTTCCGCGGGTGCCCGCCGCCGATGAAGCACGAATGAGCGCGAGCCAGCGTTGCCACCATTCTTGCCACTGCAGGTGCATATGCACAGATGTGCCGCTTCTCTCAACGCACTATGGGTTGATTTCGCACGTGTTTCCACAGCTGATTTTGAGTGCTGTGGTGGCAACATTTGGTAATGGCAACTCTCGGCCATTATGCTTTACCTGGAGACGAAAGTCGAAAGTCTTGAAAGAAGTTGACCAGAGAGGTACTGCCATGCAAGACATCACACAAAAGTACGACATTAAGAAGCCTATCAAGTGCAAACAGGTGAACTCGATGACGGTAGTTTTGGGGACCTTCTTGAAAATTCGTTGCTGTGGACAGCAACACCGGTACATACGGTTCGCTAATGAACAGAAAAATTGTGCAAATGGTCCGGCTAGTGGACGACGACATAGAAACGAGCCGCCACCGAGGACTACGGACGTTGTTGCAGGTCTTGCTCTTGCACTGCGATTTTTATGTTTTGTTGAAGACAATGCTGACGGAGCACTTCAACATGTGTAGTGCTTTGAAAACTTGCCAGCCGCAGCAAGGTTTTGCCAAGAGAACATAACAGACTATTTTCTTGGAGAACTGTCAGGTTTGAAGCAATAAAAGTGCAAATATTTGCGCATTTTGCTTTTAATTGAAATATCATTTAATTTGTCTTTTTAGGTTCCCGTGAACTTCATATTAACGCGAGTCGGCTGTACCTGGCTAACAGAGAGGGTTTAACTTGAATTTAGCACGATGCAGCGAGCGATAGAAAGAAAAAATGATAAGTGTACCCTCTAGAGACAGGGAGAGAGTGGGCCAGGAACGAACGAAGGTTAAGAATATTTATTTATTTATTTATTTATGAATACTGCAACCCTAACATAGGTGTGGCAGCTTGGGCTAGTTGGTATGGCATGACGATAGTTATAGCGCGAGAACAAAACGACGACACAGAGACAAGAAGGACACGAAAGACACGAGCGCTCGTGTCTTTCGTGTCCTTCTTGTCTCTGTGTCGTCGTTTTGTTCTTGCGCTATAACTATCGGCCTAACATAGGGTTTTGGCAGGGTGGATATACCTTTGATAAGTTTACAAATCGGCAAACAAATAAATATAAAACAGGTAAGGCATTTACACACTTGCATAAAGAAAAAAAAAAAAGAACAGTGGTTTGTAATAAACCGGCATAACAACATATAGAGAAATGAGCGCTAAATTCAAGACGATCACAAGTGGAGAATGGTTGCAGTGATTGAAATAAACAACAGGAGCACATGTCATAGAAATTAGACACTCGCTGCTAGAGCTGCGCAGCAAAAAGGTTCAAGGATGACTGGGAAACAACTTCGTTACTAAGGTTATTCCATTCGGTAATTCTCCTAGGGAAGAACGAATACTTGAATGTGTCATTACGGGTGGAAAATGGGGTTATTGTAAAGGCATGCCTCTATCTTGTGGTATATCCTGTGGACAAATGAAGTATATGTGATAAGTCTAACTTAAAATAACCTTTAACTAACTGAAAGAAAAATTTCAATCTTAATACTTTATTTCGTTGAGTAGGTGTTGGGAGGTTAGCTTTTGCTAATAAACATGTTATTGAAGTACGACCAAAACTGTTATACATAAACCTAACAGCTTTCTTTTGAATTTTTTCCATTTCACAGATATTTTCATAGTTGAAATCAAGATGTAACGGACATGACCAAGCACGAAGCGCATAAAAGCGAGAAGCGCAATTCATTAAGGGTATGCAACTTATTTCCAAGAGAAGGCCAACGCACGAGGAGAAAGAAAATTAGGTAGGCAGCTGAGATGAAGTTTGCAAGTATAACCTGGCAGCAGAAAGCACAGAACCGGGTTGGTTGGCAGAACATGGGAAAGGCCTTTGCCCTGCAGTGGGCGTAGGTAGGCAGATGATGATGATTAAATTTAGTAAAGCTGGGGTACTTGAACTTTCAGGCCTCCAGCAACCTGAATGGCTTTTCCAGAGTGTCGGAGAACCCTAATTTTTTAAATGAAAAAGTCAATCTGATGCGGGGGAGGGGGGTCTGATGGCTTCATTGAATGCAAAATGCAATGCAAGCTTTCTTATTAGGTGCCAATGGCAGTAAAATGTGAGCAGGTTGCATTCATCATGACCACTCGTGGAACCCTGAAATGCCCTTCATAAACCTCAGGATTCCACAGAACCCAGTTTAAGAACCCACGTAGTAGGGCAACACCTTCCCGCTTTTTCCTCACAACTAAGCATCCTCGAAATCTCCACATGAACAACAGAAAGGCGCATACCTTGGATGTTTTTGGAACTTGGTCACCAACGTAGATCTTGCGAAACTGCTCAAAAAAACTCAGTAGAGCCAGCTCCAACCTTTCTCCAGAGCACGAACCCAAGGGGAGTCGAGAGTCTCTCAGCTGCATCAGCTGCAGAACCCTACAAGAATGTAACAAAGCAACAGTTACTATTATTGCTATGTGACTTATGACTGAGTCGGTTTGACAAATAGAAAAGTTAATATAATTAAGCCTGGTCCCACACCTTGTTTCTAGCACATCAATGACTGTGGCTGCCTTCAACCTTTTACAAAACGGTAGGACTGTGAACAATAATATTTCTTGTTTACAAAGGATAAAGACGGTTTTGCTTAAAAATCCAGTGTCACTGAAGTGCATGTCACCAATTCCTTAACACAATGAAATTCATGATGATGACGACGAAGTACCACTTTGAGAACTGTAGTCACTACTGTATTTCAACCTATAGTTACAAAATATTTCGAAAACTGTATAGGGAGCTTGCATTAACAGCAGCGACACTGTGCACTATGGGTAGGCAGCCATTTTTTTGTCAGAGCTTGCATTAACAGCAGCGACACTGTGCACTATGGGCAGGCAGCCATTTTTTTTGTCAGAGGTGGCAGGGAAGAACAGAAGTGCAGCCGTGATCGAGAGCAAGCGCGACGAAAATGCAACTCCAAGAAGTGTCGTGCACGATGTCAGCCTCACTGAAGGACTACACTGCAACACTATGCCAGAAAGAGCTCGAGCAGTACAAAAAAGCGACGACAATTTGCTGAGTGGACCCATTCACGCTTCGTGCGGGCGACTGTGTGACGTGGGCTTCTGGTTGCGCGTCGACAGTGCCAATATTCACAAATTTATCGTTTCGAGGAAACGTTTGATTACCTGGCAGTGGTTAGAGCCGAGAAAGGCCCTCTAGGGCCCCAACATTTTGACGAGTGGCTGAGTGGGGGAGCCGTGAGTGAATGATCGTCACTCAAGTAAGACATGTTAAACTATTTGATTTTGCCGTAGATGCTAATTTTTGTTCCTGTCCAGGTTAACCACTCTAAGTGCTTTAACAAGCGCCCCACCGACGTCTTGTTCATGGGCAAGAGCGATGGTGAGGTCCCTGCCACGCACTGCACATGCATGGCCGGGAACGGCAAAGCCTCTCCTATCTCACTGTGCTGTGATTTTATGTGGAGTGCGGCGTACGTGCACGAGAAGAGCGCTCCTCAATTTAACCTGTCTTGCTTGAGTGACGACGATCACGGTGTTGGTGGCGACTTTCTTCACCCACGGCTCCCACACCCAGCCGCTGGTTACAACTTTCTCAACTTCAACCCCGTCTGGGTAAAAGTTGTTCTCGGAATGAGGAATTCGTCAACATCGGAGCTGTCAACGCACGGCCACAAGTTCACGTCGCTAACACAGTCGCAAGCACGAAACGGGAATGAGTCAATCAGCCAAGTCTCCTCTTCTTCATACCGCTCGAGGTCTTAGTGGCACAGCGTTGCGGTATAGTCTTTTGGTGAGGCTGACAGCGTGCATGACACTCCTTGGAGTTAAATTTGCGGTGCACTCACACTCGATCACACCAGCAGCCTACGCATATGCTTGCAAACACGACTGTGCTGCTGCACTCCCCAGCCGCATCTGACAAAAAAAAATGAATGCCTACCCAGAGTGCATAGCATCGCCAACATTCATGAAAGCTCCCTACATAAGCTGTAGCTGCCTACAAGCTGTATACCATCAAACATCTATATAACGAACCAGGATATACTCAAATATTGGTTAAAACGAAGTAAATGAAAAATATTCTTGCAATAGATATAGTGTTAGAAGTATACCTTTATAACGAATTCTCACGTATAACAAACTTATTTTCGTGTAAGACGCAACTGTGTCATAATAAGGTTTGAGTGTACTATACATAAAGACGTACCGCAATGTTTATTTCTTGAAGCTTGTGAACATTAATTTCAAATAAAATGTGCAATCCTAGGCCAATTTTTCATTTTGTTACCATATTACACTAGAGATGCTTTGTAAATGGCTGCCTCATTGCCAAAAGCTACTTCGATAGTAATTGCAGTCGTATTTGATTCGGTGTCATTACTATTAAATTTGTATTTGACTTCCTTCTAGCATTCACTATGCCCCCACCCCTTGTGCACATGATTGCAGTGGCATCACACCACTTCATGCAACACAAGATTTTGATGACAAGCTCTGGTGGCAGTATTTGCCACGATAGGTTTGCTTTTCGCAAATTAGAGGAGAAACACTTGCCTGGAATGCAAAAATATTTTTCCAAATCAATTTTTTAAATTACTTTTCAATAGTATAGAGTCTGAAAAAGCAATTTCTAAAACATTTCAGATAAGTAATGCACGTTTGTCAGTTATAGGACCTTGAAGTCAGTTTCATGAGCATTTCTGCCCACAAACGCATCTCAAGTAGTTTTATTCAACAGCACACCACGCAGAAAACATGTTAAGCAGCATAGGCATTTTGGTCTCACTTGAAAGACACTTTTTTTAGACGTTCCTGAAATAAGAACGTTTTTCGTCTGGCAAAAACTAAGCCATCATGCTTTCAGAAAATGTACTCGCACAGCATTGGTGCATTTCTATTACACAGGATAAATGCTTCCTTCCAACATTTAAGGATTCGTCTGCTAAAGAGTGGAGCATCGTCGCTTAGTCTACCATCTGGTGGAGATGGCTGACTGACAACAGTGCAATGGCAGGCAGTCATCAGAGGTTCTTAATTGCTCATGCATATGACAGGAAATGGTATTGGCAGCTGCAAAAACACAGCACATCACCAGCAAGACCAGAGTGAAAGGAAACTTTACTACCGCGAAAAATGATGACTATGTTCCTGGTGGCTTCTACAATCATAAGAACATTAATTCATGCCTCCTCCCATTCAAAATAAGAGCTCCCCATGGTTTCTCCACTCCTTTTCTCATTTTATCAAAACCCCATTTTTCATCACATGATAAGTTGATGTACAGAATATCTGTTGATATAGAAGTCAAGATTTTGATGATTCTAACAGTTTTTGAAATTTTGGGCACTGATTGGTGCAAGAACACAAAAAAATTACAACGGTTTCATTTATAGTAGTGATTTATTCAGCAGTAAGATTAAGCAACAATCTTTGATTTTTATAAACTGCACTTTTTAAAGCCATAACTTCCAAATTGATACTACAGCTAAAAATAAGTAATGGTTATAACACAATCTCTGGTCTTTATAGAATGCAGAGATATCATATACATAAAGTGTTTTTTGAGGAAGCTGTTGGAAGGCTGGTAGAATGCAAGTTTATAAAACAGTCAATATCTTGAAATTCATGCACGATAGACAAAAAGCAGTTGCTTTTTTTTTTCAGAAATCAAATATACACATTGTGTGAAATTTTCAGAAAAGTAGTTTTTGGACCAGTGTCTCCCTTGAACACCAAGCATTATTTGCATTTCTTTTGGCTTTAAGGGCCAACTCCGGCGATTTATTGACCATGTCAGGATTATGGTGCTTTTATGTTCCTTAGACACTCTTCTCACGTGCCCGATAACTGAAATGCTCGAAAAATTCTAAAATAATTTTTAATCACCGAAAAACCGCAATATCAAAACCAGTGATGATGATGATGATGATGTTTGATGTTTTGTGGCGCAAGGGCCATTTCATGGCCTAAAAGCACCAGTTCATGTTACAAGAGATATGGACAATGATTGTGATAAGCGGCTGTATATGGGCCATAAAATCCCTCGCTCTAATGCGGGTAAAAACATAGAAGTAATAAAAACATGACCATGCATTACAAAAGTTTGTGATAATAAAAACGATGATTGACATGTATGGCATTAGCACAAGTGCCTCCATCATTCACACCCTTGCGTCCAAGGGCCGTGAGGCAAGTGCTTTGTTCAGTGTAGCCACCGCAGCGGAGACCTCTCGGGAGAGGTCGTGCTACGGAACTCCCGGGTATATAATACGAAAAGTATGAACCTCTCTTAAAAAAAGCTAGCAATGATTTATGTGTAAAAAGTGGTTCCCTACCAACAAACATTGCAGGGTGAAGGGGTATCTGCTGTCGGTAGGGTAATGGAGAGTGTTGTCTTCTTAGCGTGTCTAACTCCTTCCACGGGATCAGAATGTGAAGTACGGTGAGCGCTTCTCCACATCTTTCACACAAAGATGGATCGCCACCAGACAGAGGAAATGAATGTGTAGCGTATGTACGTCCCGTTCTTAACCTTGTGAGTATAACTTCTGTATGGCGTGATTTTGATACTGGCAGCCAGTGACCAAGTTGCGGCTTGATGATATGCAATTTATTACCTGTGTGTGTGTCCCATGTGTTCTGCCAATAATCCCTGAGCTTTTACTTTAAAAAGGCTTTCAAGTCGAGTGCAGGAACTGGTATCGATGTATCGGTAGCGGTTTTGTTGGCAGATCCAGCTAGCTGGTCCACCAGAATGTTGCCTTGTATTTCACGGTGCCCTGGCACCCAGCAGACTACAACATGCTGCTTGGATGAGTAGACTGTGCATAGGAGTGAATAAAGCGAGACAAGGACAGGGTTTTGTGCTTTTTAGGTGTTTTCAGAGCTTTTACTACGCTTAGGAAATCTGTATATGTTATTGCCTTCTGTAGTTTTATTTGCTTAATGTGTTTAACGGCCGCAAGTATGGCATAAGCTTCGCCAGTGAAAATGCTTGTATCAGAGTGCAGAACGCCGGCTTCCGAAAAGAATGGGCTGACAGCTGCGTAGGAGACAGAAATGTTAGGCTTTGAAGCATCCGTAAAGAACTCAGGACATGTGTATTCATGTTGTAGTTCAAGGAAGTATGCCTGGATATGTGTGATTGGTGCATGCTTTGTAACCTCCAAAAAAGACACGTCGCAATCTATCGCCTGCCTCTGCCACTGTGGCAGGCATACTGCGGGAGCCATCAAGCGGTGTTCGAGTGGCACACCGGTTTCCTTCGCTAAGCCCCTCACACGGAGTGAGTAGGGCACTCTCATAGAAGGCCGTTTTTCAAACACAGCAAGGCTTGACATGTCATTGATTGTGGAATGTGATGGGTGACCCCCTGTCTGCGTTTACATTAAGATAATATTTAAAAGATAT